CAACTGATTGGCATTTACGGCTTGTGATTGGTCAAGATTCCCTAAGAGCCGCCTGAAACGGCAGCTGTGATTGGCCACCAAAGATCCGACGCCTGAAGTGATTTGCGGTGCTGCGGGAGGGATAAGGAGCCTTAAAAAACGGTTGTGCATATGAAGGTAAGTCCAAGATATGGCGGCTTAGACAGCTTGTAACTTGGATCACCACAGGACTGTTAAGGCCTCTAGCGCGCCTTTTGAGAATCCGGCCCTAGGGCTGTGGTGAACATCTTTATTGTAAACATTTCGAAGATTTTAGTGATTCTTCATCATTATTAGAAATAATAGTAAAATTTCAGATTCTGCCAGCCTCCTTCTTTCGAAATGGTTGTATTTGGAATGGATAAATCATTTGCTGTTTAGCACTGTAATGCTGTTGTTCTCTATCGCATCTGACTGCTTGAGCTGTGATGTAACTTGTACTTCCCGACGTCAAAGTTGCATGTAAGTTTCGCACTGTATTTTTGGGAAGAATATGCATGATTTACACAGCAAAACATATCAAAACCACTAAAAAAGCTTTAAATTGATATTGTTGAAACTCTACAGGAAAGGGACGCATGTTTCAACTATATAATTACGGACTGCAATTTTGCACAATACATAAGCATTAAATCCTGATTAAACAAAAATAAGCTTTAAATATGAAAATGCGTGTCTCAAGTTTCCTAGAGATCATATAATATAAAAATAAAATGTTAATTGTTGCTAAAAAAATAACGGGATTTAATCTACCTATCGCGTTTACTAATATTAGTACAAAGCAAAACCAAGAACGTTACGCTATTCGGCCGGTTTGTTAAAATTGAGCGAGGCCCGACCCAAAGACTATTCGTATACATGACATGCATAAATAAAGAAATAAATGCATATTTATCAGTCTAGATATGCATATCAACCAGGTAAAATGATAGTTAAAGGAATATCTATCAGATAAATAGACAGATATTCATCTATTTCTGCATATATGCATGTCTGTATTTAAGAAAAATCCTTGGGTCGGGCCTCGCACAATTTTAACAAACCGGCCGATTGACAGTAGTTCCGTGTCAAGTTATATCGTCGCTGTCTACGCGCTCGACGCAGATGTCACTCACAATCATCGAGAAACAGTTTACAAACCTTATTGATGATTAAAATAAAAAAGGAAACATTTATTTTCGCTTCCCATATATTGTAAGGTTGAATCTATATGCGTTAAAACAGCTATTTATATCAGGCCGTGGCGGTCCTTTTGAGTTTGTGCTGCTAAAATTAGATAATCCGGTTGCATGACGGAAATCATGGATGTAAAAACCCGGGCAATGCGGTACGCAAGTGGCCAATATCCCGGGCGTGCCTGCCACCAAGGAATGCCCATGAGTGCTAAGAGCGAGGTACATATTTGTAATTCGTAGGTGAATAAGAGCCCGCTGTAGCTTATTTTATGTTATATCCTACCACTTCTTCCGTTCTATAAGATGGTGGTGTCCATTTCCCTCTATCACCGCGCGTCACACTAACGTTTAATGTCGTTTCTTCATTTTCAATTTTACGTAAACCCTGCGGCGCTGCTCACAGCGGGCAGGAATGCGCTGGCAGCATGGACATGGCGTCCTCTCTAGAGCCGACGCTCTTCCAGTCATTGCTCTCGCACGTTACATTTAACATTAGTTTATCGATGGGAATAATGCTACAGCCCCCTTTTATGCACAATTCGAGTCACATCACACTCCCAAGAGGTTTGTGCACTCGTTGCAAGAATTTCCCGTCACCCTGGCCTTCATGAAGGCATGTTCTCGTCACCCGCCCATCAGAAGTTTTACCGTGACATGACCGCAACGTCAACCGGGTCTCATTCGTTGTGGCGATTTGATCGTGCACGGTTATTGTACACCAAATCAATGGCGGTGTATGCAATAGAAAAAAAAAATATATATACATATATATATATATATATATATATATATATATATATATATATATATATATATATATTGGTAACGTTTAAAATTAATAATGCGTTTGGTAAGTTTCTGCCTGCATTTATTGTAATATAAGACGCAAAGAATTAATTACTCGCATTCAATTAATATTTGATTATATAGATATATTTTGTGCAACATGCAATGTTTGTAATATACCGGTTCTCGTTATAACCTATCTAAATCTTACTAACCTTCAGACAGACACTGAACGTTTTTTGTGCCCGATTGCACAGCTTTCCGAAAATAGTGAGTTCTGATTGGTCAAGAAATACGTTTTCCTCAGTTTTCATTGGCCAGGATTTGTCGCCATTTGTCACAGTGTAATCGCTTCCATGCCAATAATTGCTTGTTAAACATGATGTTCCTGTCTTAC